GAAATTCCTCATTTAATGCCAGGACAAAGATGATGGTGTTATGGTCCAGAATCCCCCAGTTTGTCAAATTGCTTGAAGTGCTTGATAAAAAAAAAAGCAGAGGGACTGCATATGTAGCTCCCAGAACCATAACAATTATAACAAGGTCTAATGGTGCTGAATGTTTCCTTTTCACAATACACATATACCCAAGTACCTGTATTCTGCATAGTCTTGAAATACAGTGAAATACAGTGAATCAGCTAAAAGCTGAATACTGTTTTACTAATACTTAACTTGTTCACTATGCCAAGTTAATTGATTGTATCTGTTAATATACATCATTGATCATTTGTGGTTTAAAGAAACACTCAAAGCACCGTAGCTCATACCACTACTGTGGAGTGCACCAACACTGTTCCACAGTAAGATGTTAAACTGTTTTAACACGGTCTAACCTTAACCATACCTCCCAACTACTGCAGTCCTGGAATCGTGATGCGAGAAAGGGTGCGGGCCAGGTAGACGATTGCTTCACTGGCTTCTACCAAAAGGGGGTGTGCCCGACCACAATACTGGCATGTCGGCCTGGTGTGAATTTCAGCCAGGTTGTCTGCCAATCATTTTAGCTAGACCACTGAGAGCAGACCCTGCAGGAAGCACTGTTACAGTGCTCTCTATAGGGGCCCTAGTGCCTTGATGCATCTTATGATGCGCTCAGGCTATGCTTGTTAAATACAGTTCCCTGGTGTCCCCAAAAGCTAGTGGGGTGGAGGAAGATGACCCAAAAATCAGCACTGTCCTGCTGAAATTGGGACTGTCGGTAGGGAAGGTTTAAGAAAGCGGATGCAGGACTACACGGCTCTGTAGAGTAAAGCATGGCTGATGCAGGACTGCACGGCTCTGTAGAGTAAAGCATGGCTGATGCAGGACTGCACGGCTCTGTAGAGTAAAGCATGGCTGATGCAGGACTGCACGGCTCTGTAGAGTAAAGCATGGCTGATGCAGGCACGGCTCTGTAGAGTAAAGCATGGCTGATGCAGGACTGCACGGCTCTGTAGAGTAAAGCATGGCTGATGCAGGACTGCACGGCTCTGTAGAGTAAAGCATGGCTGATGCAGGACTGCACGGCTCTGTAGAGTAAAGCATGGCTGATGCAAGACTGCACGGCTCTGTAGAGTAAAGCATGGCTGATGCAGGACTGCACGGCTCTGTAGAGTAAAGCATGGCTGATGCAGGACTGCACGGCTCTGTAGAGTAAAGCATGGCTGATGCAGGGCTGCACGGCTCTGTAGAGTAAAGCATGGCTGATGCAGGGCTGCACGGCTCTGTAGAGTAAAGCATGGCTGATGCAGGGCTGCACGGCTCTGTAGAGTAAAGCATGGCTGATGCAGGGCTGCACGGCTCTGTAGAGTAAAGCATGGCTGATGCAGGGCTGCACGGCTCTGTAGAGTAAAGCATGGCTGATGCAGGGCTGCACGGCTCTGTAGAGTAAAGCATGGCTGATGCAGGGCTGCACGGCTCTGTAGAGTAAAGCATGGCTGATGCAGGGCTGCACGGCTCTGTAGAGTAAAGCATGGCTGATGCAGGGCTGCACGGCTCTGTAGAGTAAAGCATGGCTGATGCAGGGCTGCACGGCTCTGTAGAGTAAAGCATGGCTGATGCAAGGCTGCACGGCTCTGTAGAGTAAAGCGTGGCTGATGCAAGACTGCACGGCTCTGTAGAGTAAAGCATGGCTGATGCAAGACTGCACGGCTCTGTAGAGTAAAGCATGGCTGATGCAGGGCTGCACGACTCTGTAGCGTAAAGCATGGCTGATGTTGGACCACACTCATGGCTGAGACTGCTCAGCTGACGCACTAAGACAATGACCACAGTCATGTAATATTCTGCTTTGGACTCATCTAAGAGACTTGCCTTGATGTGGAGGGTGAACTTGCACTTTAGTGGCCATTGAAGTGCTACTAATATCCTTGTGTTAATTAAATATGCATTGGGATTTAGGATAGTGTGCAGGTAACTTTTGTTTTTGGTTTTGCATATTTAGGATGGTAAATACTATAGCCATTGCCGCCAACAAGTAGTGGGAGTCTATATAATTTTGGTCTATAATTGCAAACTTAAACAAAAAAAAAGCTAAATAGAAACAGTTTTCAGCTCAACTTTTTTGGCCTAAATAATTACATATTCAGTTCTCTGTTTAGTGAATAAAACATAATTTATGCAGGTAGAACAAAGCCATTTGGTCCCAGTCTGTTCCCTTTCTGCATAGAGAGGGTTAAGAAAGAGATTGAAGAAAATTAAATTCAGGGAGGGATAGAGAAAGACTCAGTGGATCTATCAGACACGCACTTGAACATGGTACGGATAAAATCTTTAAATTGAAAAACATAAAAGATTATGCACCATGGGTGGGCTATTTAATCCACTAAGTAGCTTGAGATGTTCAACATATGCTCCACTTGCTGCTAGCAAAGGGGGCGACTTCTTCTCTGGCGTATTGTAAACAATGAATGTATAAATGTTCTTTAAGTACCATTCCCATCCGCAGCGGTAGCAACTGGCAATCAGGTTTGCAGGTCCCACAATCGATAAGTGTAGGCTGAGGAGCTGACTAATTAAATCCTGCATTGTCTGCTAAATTATATCAATGAACCTTAACATATTTTGTTGAATGTATGTTTCCCGGTAACTAACTAAACCACCCACTAATGTTGTAAAGCAGAGTGGATCTTCCATACAATAAAAGAAGACTTAGTTACAATATAATTACAGCATGCGTACTCATGTAGTCAATTTATTTGTGATTCATAAAAATTTTAAAAAAGAAAATCACATTTTTATTCCGTAGCGAGGTTTGCCATTTCTTCTCTGGGGATCCTAACCATACAAGAATGAATTGTGCGTGAAAATGCATTTAAAGGAGGAAGGTACAAATTAGGGTGAATGTCGAACATTTCATGGTATAGAGCAGTTTGAGTAACGTCAATTAGATCAGTGAATCTGACAAATCTCATTAATAATATGTAATATTGTTGTCTGACCTGTTTTAGAGACCTGCATAACTGCAATTTGAATGCCGCTTTGAAGTCGATACTTGCTGCTGTCTTTATGTTAACAACGTATTGTGGTTAGGAGGGGGAATCCCAGATTGGCAAAGTCCAGTCTAATTTGCACAGATTTAATGAGTTTTTATAGCAGTGCAGCTTGATGAATGTAATTGTGCGAGATCTGGTGGATGTGTCATTTGTAAATTGCAGTCCATAATGGGAAGGGAAATTGTATGCAAATAGTGTACGACTTACTTAGCTTTCTAGAGCTTAGAGAATTACCTGCTGTAGCTTGTATTAACTTGGAAGTGCTAATTAATAAGATTCACAAGGAGACACTTTAATGGGACACAAACTGATTTTTTAAATCATGAAAATTACAAAACTGGTGTTTGATCACTAAGCCACGAATTGTGAAGAATTGAAAGTGGAATTGCACACGTTAGGCCTAATTAGACTAGCTAGAGAAAGCTGGAGTTTAAATAATTTTCCAGTTCTGTAATTTTGCACCTAGGCCACTGGGGATGTATGGGCAACCCCTATTCATATGGAGGAGGTGGGTGAGAGAGCTTATTTTATTATTTGGGCCACAGTTCATGGTCGTCCGCAGGAATTTTTCCGGGGGGGGGGGACATAATTGTAATAACATCCATGCAGGGCCGGACTGGGGCTACAAAGCAGCCCTGAACAAAATGTATGCCAGCCCTATAAGTCATTGTGCGTGTGTATATATATATATATATATATATATATATGTGTGTGTGTGTGTGTATATATAAATATGTATTAAATATGTATATATATATATATATATATATACACACACACACATAAAAAGATAGATATGTGTGTGTGTATATATATATATATATATAAATAAATATATATATTATTGGTATGTTTCTTTTTCTAATTCAAATTATTGGTTCTGTCAGTGTAAAAATGTAATTATACAGTAAGCATACTCACATGCAGACAGACAATGTCACTGACACAAGCACCCAAGCTCATTGACACACACGATCACAGACAGACAATCTCATTGATACATATAAGCTCATTAATATTTAAACACAAGCTCACTGATACACACTAATAGGCACACTGACAGACAATCTCACTGAAACACACAGACAAACTTGCTGGTACACACACAAACTTAGTACAAACTCTGACACTCACACAAGGTTACTACAGACAAACTCATTGGTATACAAACTTACTACAGACAAGTTTACTGTCACACACACACACACACATGCTCACTACAGACAAGCTCACTGACACACACATGCTCACTACAGACAAGCTCATTGACACCCACATGCTCACTACAGAAAAACTCACTGTCACACACATGCTCACTACAGAAAAGCTCACTGACACACACATGCTCACTACAGAGAAGCTCACTGACACACATACACATGCTTACTGCAGACAAGCTCACTGACACACATGCTCATTACACCTGTGGTGAAAGGGGGTCAGGACCTGTGGTAGGGGGTGAGGGCGTGCGGGATCATAGGCAATAAAAGGGGATAAAGGACTGTAATGGGGGTTAGGGTCTGTAGTGGGTGCTTAGTGGCAATAGTGATGGGTTAGGACCTGTAGTAGGTGGTTAGAGGCAATAGTGGGGGGTTAGGGGCTGTAGTGGGGTTTAGAACGTGTAGAGGGGGGTTAGGGGCAATAGTGGAGGGTTAGGACCTGTAGTGGGGTTTAGAACGTGTAGAGGGGGGTTAGGGGCAATAGTGGAGGGTTAGGACCTGTAGTAGGTGGTTAGAGGCCTTAGTGGGGGTTAGGGGCTGTAGTGGGGTTTAGAACTTGTAGTGGGAGTTAGGGGCAATAGTCTGGGTTTAGGACTAATAGTGGGTGGTTAGAGGCAATATTGGGGGATAAGGAACTGTAATCAGTTTAGAACCTGTAGAGGGGGGTTAGGGACAATAGTGTGGGGTTAGGACCAGGAGATAGAGCCCTGGACTGTGACTCTGCCTAAAGCTGAACATAGCTTGGTTTACTAAACAGTGAACTGGGCTATGTGAAACTGATAACTGCTGTTGTACTATATGTGCGGTAAGTATACATACAGAATGTGAGTATTTACCCCACTGACCTGTATTTGTCACCCCTTACTTTCTGACTATCACTCCACTTCCTTCTCTCCTCACCCCCCTAGCTGTACCTCTGCCTCCATTAACCATTTATTAATCTCTTCCTCCTCAAACCACCACTTTTATTTATGTTTTAACTTAACTCTTTCTTGGGTCTCTTCTCTCTTTCTCTCCACCAGCCCCTGAGCAGCATGCCTCTGCAGTAATCCATAGTGTTTCCTCCTGCAGACAGTTCCTCCTAGCCGAGTTTACCACACGTGCTGGGAGCACACAGCATGCATCAGTGGCGGATCCAGAGCCTGATCTCGGGAGGGGCACTTGTAGATTATTTAAAGAAATAATCCAGACACAGTAATCACTACAGCTCAGTGTAGTGGTTATGGTGTCAATAGTGCCGGGACCCCCTCCCAGAGTAAGTAGTCAAACCATTTAAGAACAGTGTGACAACTTACCTGAGGTCTGCTGGGAAATGGGGCTGTAGTAGGGTGTGTGTGTGTATGGGGGGCAGTATGTGTGTGTGTGTATGGGGGGGCAGTATGTGTGTGTGTATGGGGGGCAGTATGTGTGTGTATGGAGGGGCAGTATGTGTGTGTGTGTGTATGGGGGGGCAGTGTGTGTATGGGGGTGTATGTGTGTTTGGGGGGCAGTATGTGTGTGTGTATGGGGGCAGTGTGTGTGTGTATGGGGGGCAGTATGTGTGTGTGTGTGTATGGGGGGCAGTGTGTCAGGGCCGGATTAACATAGGGGCTGATGGAGCTGCAGCTCCAGGCCCAGGCCCATGGAATAGGCCCATTGATTTAAAAAAAAAAATATATATATATATATATATTTTTTTTTTAACACACTACTCTTAGGGATTCCACCTGGCTTTTATTTTATTGGCACAGCCAGGATTTGAGGCTGCCTGGCTGGTGCCAATATTGCAATCATACTGGCAATACAAATGCTGGTATTTTTCTCAGTATAAACAAGAGATTACTATGCAATACCAGCACTGGCCAGTAGGGGTTCGTTGTATGTGGAGACAGGCAGGGATAGGAAGTTCCAGCATATCACTCCCTGCCTATCTATACTCACTGATCTGCAGGGGTGCAGCTACAGAGAGTCCAGACAGCAACTCCCACCCTGCAGAGACAGCCTACAGCTCAGGGAAGTAAAGGATGGAGGGAAAGGCTGCAAGGAGACATACACTGAGACACTAAGGGACATTGGGAGACAGTATGACACAGACACAGTGTCCCCATGTCTCCCAGCCAGTGTCCCTGGTGTCTCAGTGCCTCCTAGTCTCCCAGTGACCCCAGTCTGCCAGTGTCTCACTGTCCCCATGTCTCTCAGTGCCTCAAGTGTCACAATGTCCCCATATCTCCAAGCTAGTGTCCCTAGTGTCTGTGGCCCTGGTGTCTCAGTGTCCCCATGTCTCGCAGTGCCCCCATGTCTCAATGCCCACATGTCCCTCAACCAGTGTCTCTAGTGTCTGTGTCCCCATGTCTTCAAGTGTCCCCTGTTTTCCCATTGTCCTCATGTGTCCCAGCCAGAGTCCCCTAGTCTCCCAGTGTCACTGGTCTCTCCATGTCCCTAGGTATCCCCATGTCCCCAGGTCTCCCCATCTTCCTAGTGTCCTAATGACATGGGGACCCTGGGATACATGGGGAGACATGGGGCATTGAGTCACTGTGATACATAGGATCACTGGGAGACCTGGGGACACGACACTTGGGGACACTGAGAGACATGGGGCACTAAGACACTGATACATAGGAACACTGAGACCTGGAGTAATCGACACATGGGCGCACTGGGAGACATGGGGGCACTGGGAGGAATCCATCTATACAGCAAAATCAAACTAAGTAGTTTTTTGGTGATTTTACAGCATTTTCTCTTATGTCACTCCTTGTGATTTACATCATGTGATGTCACCCATACATATTTAATTATGCAAATTGTTTTTCCAAGAAAGGTGGCAACCCTAACTACTTTTCACATACTCTTACTTAAGTATGGAATCTTAAGAGGGATGTATGGGAACAAAACTTGTGTGGACTAGCGGACAATGAATATAGTGAAAGGGACACTATAGTCACCAGAACAACTACAGCTTATTGAATTTGTTCTGGTAAGTAGAATCATTACCGTCAGGCTTTTTGCTGTAAACACTGTCTTTTCAGAGAAAATGCAGTCTTTACATTACAGCCTAGTGATAACTTCACTGGCTACTTCTTCGATGGCTGTTAGAGATCCTTCCTGGGTCATGGCTGCCTAAAATGCAAGGAGATGCTGATTGGCCAGGGCAGTGTTTGAATCATGCTGGCTCTGACTCTGATCTGCCTCTTTGTCAGTCTCAGCCAATCCTATGGGGAAGCACTGTGATTGGATCAGGCCACCACTTCTAATGATGTCAACAGACTGCTTGTTTTTATGAGTCTAACAGCATGCAGAGTTACAGCTTCAGGCTTGAATATAGTAAGATTTTGTTATATTTATGGAGGCATGAGGGGCCCAGGGGGTCTAGATGGTGGTGTTAACACTGTAGGGTCATGAATTCATGTTTGTGTTCCTGACCCTATAGTGATCCTTTAAGGTAATGCTGACTTTGGTCTCTCTAACACTGTGGCATGTTCCCTTTCTTCTACACTCTCTACATACAGCTTTTCTCTGTCCCAGACTATATACCAGGAGCTTCTGCCTGCTAGTAAGAAGGTAAGGAGATGGACCAGCGAGTGCTAGGGGACAGTCCTTAGAAAGTGTTGAGTGAGCGCATCATTAGATGCATTTATGCCAAGCTCAGGGTGCTGTCTGCATAGTATGCACTTAGTTGGCCAGCTGCATGATTGGCAGGCTGGCCTTCTAATTCTTTGGGCAGACATGTCCTCTTTTTGGGCATGTTCACCCCTTTTGGCAGGTTTGTGTCAGTGGCACACCCTTTTACCCCACCCTTTGACTTCCTGCTTGACTGGACACTGCTGTTAGGGGTTATGGATTTACTTGAAACATGAAAACATAAATTAGCGAGAGATTAGCCTAGGGTATGTGTTTTCTTATAGCTGCTGTTTTCTTTCTCTCCAGCACCATCTCCATCAAATACATGACACTTGGGAGTGTTTTACTGTTTTTGGTCAATATAATTCTGTAATTAGGCCCGTCATAATTGTCAGCACCAGGCCCACTGGGCTCTTAATCTGGCCCTGGCCCCATCCCTCACTCTGTCACTAGTCACCCCTGCCTCACTCTGTCACTAGTCCCCCCTCACTCTGTCACCAGTCACCCCCTCCCTCACTCTGTCACTAGTCACCCCCTCCCTCCCTCTTTCACTAGTCACCCCCTCCCTCACCCTGTCACCAGTCACACCCTCCCTCAATCTGTCACCCTCCCTCCATCTTCACTAGTCACCCTCCCTCCCTCTGTCACTAGTCACCCTCCTCCCTCTTTCACTAGTCACTCTCCCTCTCCCTCTCCCTCCCTCTGTCACTAGTCATCCCCTCCCTCCCTCTGTCACCAGTCACCCTCTCCCTCACTCTGTCACTGTGTCACTCCCTCCCTCCCTCTGTCACTAGTCATTCTGTCACTAGTCACCTCCTCCCTCCCTCTGTCACCAGTCACACCCTCTGTCCGTCACCAGTCACCCCCTCCCTCTGTCACTAGTCACCCCTCCCTCCTTCAGTCACCTTCTTCCTTTGTCATCAGTCACCCCCTCCCTGTCACTAGTCACCCCTTCCCTCCCTCAGTCACCTCCTCCCTCTGTCACTAGTCATGCCCCTCCCTCTGTCACCAGTCACCCTCTCCCTCCCTCTGTCACTAGTCACCCCCTCCTCTCACTCTCCTGTCACCAGTCACCTCTCCTCTGTTACTAGCTGTCACCCTCCTCACTTGTCACTAGTCACTCCCTCCCCTTACTCTGTTTGTCACCAGTCAAATTTTCCTCACTTCTGTCACCAGTCACACTCCTCCTCCCTGTCACTAGTCACCCTCCCTCCTCTTTTTTCACTAGCTCACTCCTCCTCATACTCTGTCACTAGTCACTCCTCCTCCTCTCAAGCTAGTCACCCTCCCTCCCTCCCTCTGTCACTAGTCACCCTCCCTCACTCTGTCACCAGTCACCCCTCCCTCCCTCTGCCACTAGTCACCCCTACCTCACTTGTCACTAGTCACTCCTCCTCCCTCTTTTTCACTAGTCACCCTCCCTCCCTCTGTCACTTCAGTCACCCTCCTCACTCTGTCACTAGTCACTCTCCTCCCTCTTTCTACTAGTCACTCCCTCCCTCTGTCACTAGTCACCCCCTCCCTCACTCTGTCACCAGTCACCCCCTCCCTCCCTCTGTCACTAGTCACCCCTTCCCTCACTCTGTCACTAGTCACCCCCTCCCTCACTCTGTCACCAGTCACCCCTTCCCTCACTCTGTCACCAGTCACCCCCTCCCTTACTCTGTCACTAGACACCCCCTCCCTCCCTCTGTCACTAGTCACTCCCTCCCTCACTCTGTCACCAGTCACCCAGCCCCCTCACTGTGTCTCCCCCTCACTCTGCCACCACTCACCCCCTCCCTCACTCTAACACCTGTCAAACAGAGGGAGGGAGGGGGCGACTAGTGACAGAGGGATGACAAAACACACCATCTCTGGCCCCGCCCCTTTCTCAGGGGGCCTCTGTGATTGAAAAATGCCCGGGCCAAATTTTTTTCCCAGTCCAACCCTGGCTTCCTACCTAGCGTTTCATTCATTACAACCCACTCACACATTGTGCTACTCTCCAGTGAGCCACTGTAGAGTTATTTTGAAGTTCTGGACTGCATTCAGGCCTGTGTGCATTAGCATCAGGTGTGTGAGTTTGTGCTGATAATGCAAAGCATATAATTGCTGGGTTCCAAATTGCCCCAGCAGACACAGTATATGTTGTGTTTAATAAAGAGCTGGGTTTTGGCTCACATTTTGCAATGGTGTTCCATAACTTAGTGTTGGGTGTTTTGCAGAGTAACTACCGTAGTTGAGAATAATGAGGAGGCAAATTAAACATTTTAGGTTGGAATGCTTGTGACATGTGTTTAGACAACATAACCACGACAGTGACAATCAGCAGAATATTTTCTTAATAT